ACAAACAAACAAATAAACACACACACACACACATATATACATATATACATATACATGTATATAATATATATAAATACACACATATACATATATATACATAATATATATATATATATATATATGTGTGTGTGTGTGTGTGTGTGTGTGTGTGTATAAATGTATACAGATAGATAGATAGATAGATAGATAGATAGATAGATAGATAGATAGATAGATAGATAGATAGATAGATAGATAGATAGATAGATAGATAGATAGATAGATAGATAGATAGATAGATAGATAGATAGATATTAATATATAAGATATATATATATATATATATATATATATATATATATATATATATATATATATAATATATAATTTATAACTTATTTGGGGGGCTCTCGTGGCCTAGAGGTTAATGTGTTCGCCTCTCATTCAAAGGTCCCGGGTTCGAATAGGGGTAGTGACCAAAAACTTTTCTTCTCTAAATTTGTCTCCTTTCACCTCCTTTCCTACTCTCTAGCAATGTTCTGTCGTCTGCTTTCGTCTTCTCTTTCTGCCCCCCACCCCCTTCACCTCCTTTGCCCCCTCCTCTGGGCTCCTGATTCTTTCTGCAGCCTTTCTACTGCTACTCATTGGCTTCTTCTTACTGCTGTCTTTCAGCCACACCCCTGATCTTCTGGTAGGAAAGATCTACACCTAGCCTTCTCGGACAAGGGCGAAAAATCTCGGAGGTCCCGTGTGCAAGTTGTGCACGTTAAAGATCCCTTGGTGGTCTAAAATCGATAAGAGTAGGCTTCGGACGCCACTCGGGCAAAATTCAAAATTTCCTACCAACTGAAAAAGTTTAGTGTGTCCCGCGCGCTCATATGACCTTATGCAGTTGCGAGCGCCGTAAAACACTTACAAAAGCAAGCAAGCAATAACTTATTTATTTATTTATATATGGCTTTTGATCAATGTTCTTCATTGAGATTCACACATAATTGTGTTTTTAAAAGGACATCAGAGATGTTGAGCCAAAAAATATTTTTTCAAAATCACTAAAATGTCCCAAACGGGCGGGAAAATGCCGGTTCCTTTGATGACATTGTTTTGAAAAGCGCCTGATTTCACCATGATGCCGTACTTTTGTTACCACACTCGGCCAAAATGACGGTGATCATGGTTGGTGGAATCCTCAACCTAGCAGTTATTGAACATGGGTCATTGCAGGGCGCGGCTCTATAGCTATACCACCGTACTAGACAGAGCCAAACCATCTGGAAGGACGGCGGAAGATATTTGGAGACGTCTCCGGCGAGCACCCAGAAACTATTCGGAGACGCACTCCCGCACACAGATGCACTGCTCTGGGGGGTCAAACTGCGTATTATTTGCTGCAGATCACATATATAGCCACTGAAACTGTCGCAAATCAATCATTTTCAAGAACATTTCAAACTTAACTGCAAAATATCAAATATCAAATTATGGGTTAAAACAGGCGGGCATGCCCCCCTGTAACCCCCCCCCCCCCCCCCCCAATTTATTTTTACTTGGTCTAGAGGCACAAAGCATTTTGATTGGTCTATCTCCGTCGGAGACGTCTCTGAATAGATACTGCGGGAAGGACTGGCATTTGAACTGGGGCATCGGAGGTCTCAAACTCAAACTACCCTGAGGGCACTGGGTTGAGAATCAGGCTGAGCCTGAGCTGCAACAGTCATTCCACTAAAAACCAAGCAAGGTTTCGAGTATTTTTTGTAAATTAAAGTACTACTTACTACTACTAATTTAATCCTCTTAATTAATATTCTTTAAAATTATAGCAGTTCAGTGCATGATTGGTTTTTCAGGGCATAGGCTTCTCTAACCTGCTCGTTGCTGCCAAAACCAGGACAACACATCGGCAGAAAGGTGCGTGTGCGTAAAATGTTCCGACTGTATTTGGCCCTATTCTTTGATGTCAAGTATGGAGATCCTGCGCTCCTCAAAATGTCAAGCAGGCCGCGAATTTGAGACTTCTGGTTGTGAGATCATTTTTTTTTCTTGGTAAGTGTTTTACTGCGCTCGCAACTGCATAAGGTCGTATGAACGCGTTGCTTCCCTTATTGTTCCTCGTGGGGATCTGTTGCTACTTTGTCAAACCACTCGTTCTATAATATTCTCCCTCTCTCTTTTTCTCTCTCTCTCTCTCCCCCCCTCTCTCTCTCTCTCTCTCTCTCTCTCTCTATCTATCTATCTATCTATCTATCTATCTATCTATCTATCTATCTATCTATCTATCTATCTATCTATCTATCTATCTATCTATCTATCTATCTATCTATCTATCGATCTATCTATCTATCTATATATCTATCTATCTATTTCTACCTCTCTCTCTCTCTCTCTCTCTCTCTCTCTCTCTCTCTCTCTCTCTCTCTCTCTCTCTCAATTTCTCATCTCCGTATACATATAATCTGGCTTGTATAAATATATACAACTCTAACATACCAGAATCAAATATTGGTCCCTGAAAAAGCACAAGAAAGCAAAATCAATGTATGCGAAATGAGGTGTCTCCGCAAAACTATCAATGTCGCCAGAGGAGACCGCATAGGGAACGAGACTATACGCCTACTTACCGGAATACAACCAGTTATGGATTCCACTGAGCGTCAAAGAGACAAATTAAATGGTTCGGACATCTAACCAGAATGTCGCAGAAGCAACCAACAACAAGAGTTTACCACACCCATGAATCCGGCTTTTAATCAACAGGAAGACCAAGAAAGGCCTAGCTAGATGGGGTTAAAAAGGTCCTGGATCAAATGGATCGGACATTAAATTAGAAAGCACAAAAAACAACAAGCAACAAGAGTTTACCACACCCGTAAATCTGGCATTTAATCAAGAGGAAGACCAAGAAAGACCTGGCTGTATGGGGTTAAAAAGGTCCTGGATTAAATGGTTCGGATATCACATCAGAACGCACAAGAAACAACAAGCAGCAAGCGTTTATCACAGCCGTGAATCAGGCTTCAAATCAAGAGGAAGACCAAGAAAGGCCTGGCTAGATGGGGTTAAAAAGGTCTTGAGGACAACAAGCTCCTATATCAATCACAGACGCCACACACTTAATACAGGACCGAAACCTGCACCTCCCCTCCACGACATCCTAAGGATACTAGAAGAAAGCAATAGAACAATTAAAAGTAAGTATAATATTATACTTTCTAAATATATTACCATCCACGCACTTTATACATATATATATATATATATATATATATATATATATATATATATATATATATATATATAAAATAATCTGTGTTTGTGTATGTGTGTGTGTGTGTGTGTGTGTGTGTGTGTGTGTGTGTGTGTGTGTGTGTGTGTGTGTGTGTGTGTGTGTGGGTGTGGGTGTGTGTGTGTGCGTGTATACGTATGTGCTCGTATGGGTCCTTGTGTCTGTGTGTGTACGTGTTTATGTGTGTGTGTGTGTGTGTGTGTGTGTGTGTGTGTGTGTGTGTGTGAGTGTGTGTGTGTGTGTGTGTGTGTGTGTGTGTGTGTGTGTGTGTGTGTGTGTGTGTGTGTTTGTGTGTGTGCAATACTGACTACTACAACACAACAACCCCAAAAAATACTCAACAAGAGCAATATAATTTTAAAAAATCAGTTTAAAGAAAACAACAAACTAACAAAGTAACCATTAAAATTACATCATCGCATCATCATCATCATCATTGTCGTCGTTTCCCAATAGAAATTTGAATAGTCATTCTTACGCTTACCCTTCTCCTATGAAATAAAAAAGCAGTTGGAGTGTGTAGGCCTAACTTCTCACTTTAACGTGTTTCTAAAGACTTTTTAGTAGAACTGTATAACCTTCTTGAGTGGTCCTCAAAACACAAGTAAATCCAAGAATCCATTCGAGTTTATGCGACTCTGTGGCCAGCCGTCTGTGAATCTGAACAATTCCTTTACCCACGGTCGCCCGCTCGCCGCTCGCTCGCCACTTTTTGCTAACTCCACCAGCGGAGAGCGCAAAAGCCCACAACTCACTCCCAAGCGCCCGCGACGAGTTGAGGGGCTTTGTTGACAGATTACCATTCGTGGTCAGCAGCGAGTTATCGCTCCCTTTTTCCAAAAGGAGGAAGAGGAAAAGAGGGACTCGCCATCAGTTTAGGGAACCTTGCTGTCGTGTTCTGGATTATGGTCTCGTGTGCGTGTGTGTGTGTGTGTGTGTGTGGGGGGGGGGGGGGGGGGGACATTGAGTTGGACGCACCAAAAAGAAAAAAGAATTTTTAAATACTACAACTATACCCTAAAAAAGTCTCTGGAGGATTTTAATATCAATCCTTCAACATGTGAGATCCTCGCTCCTGACAGACACAGCTGGAGAGCAACAGTCACAGTGGGCAGCAAGTCATACAAGGCTTCATTATTTATTATGTTAATGCTGAAACCAAGAAAGAATCCCGCAAGTTGCGCACTTTCACCAGTGGCAATAGAGCTTTAAAATGCTCAATAAATGTGCCAAACACACCTCTGCTAAAATTCGTCACGTGGGCCATAATAGAAGCTACATTAAGTCCTCTCATTATAGAAATTTTAATATTCTCCTCCGCAAATACAATGGCCACCATTGTCATACATTCACGGACGAATTATTATTAGTTATTAAAAGTATTTTTTAAATTACTATTATAATTATCATTATTATTATTATTATTTTTATTCTTATTCTTATCTTTATTCTTATTCTTATTTTTATTATTATTATAATTATTATTATTATTATTATTATTATTATTATTATTATTACTACTATTATTATAACAGACAAGCGAACCATCTACCGTGTACTACTAGCTTTTAAAAAAGTGTTTTGTGTGGACAGTCGTGCAGCCGACATAACGATCAGACTGTCTGGGGGCGGTACAAGAAGGTCGGAGGAAATGAAGGGGGGGGGGGAGGGGGGGAGGGGGGGAGGGGGGGAGGGTAGTAGACAGGAAGGAGGTCCATGGACGAATTAATGAGCGGGGGAAGAGGGGAAGGGGTGCTTGAATAGGACTTTATCTCTGTGAAAAACCGTTTTAGGAAACATTTAGGGCCACCCGTAGGGCGCTGATAGCCTGTTGGGTGAGTGAGTGTGTGTGTGGGGGGGGGAAGTGTGGGTGTGGGTGTGGGTGTGTGTGTGTGTGTGGGTGGGTGTGTGGGTGTG